GAGGGAGTTCCAGGGGAAGGGGGAAGGGTTTGCAGGAACAAGCATAAAGGACCTGTGGACAAAAATGGGGGAGGGGTGGGCTGGGATGGAAGTAAAAGGCAGAAAACTGTACTTGGACAACAATTAAAATAAAATAAAAAATAAATATTTTATTCAAGCTCTCTTATACTTCTGAAAATATTAAAATATTATAATTTCATTTTTGAAGGGAGGATATATATGAAGATAACCTTTTGTCTGTAAAGCTTACATAAATCTGTTAGATCTCTAAGAACAATTTGCAATAGAATAATTTTAGATATATTATTAATATCTTTAAAATAATTTCAGTTTACCTCTTAATCCTTATTTTTGAAAAATAAAGTTGAAAGTGAGAGAAAACTTCTAAATTCCTTTTCAAAGCTTAATGTCAGTGAGGAATATGAATAAAAATATTTTTTTAACACAAAGGCATTAAGCCACTTGTAATTCTCACACCAATGTTGTGTCTAGAGTTTAAACTGAAACATTGACTGCGCACTTATGTTTTAAATTTGACAACTTCCATGTCCTTTACAAGAGCTTCTTTGTTTTAACAGTTTTTGTTATTTTTCTATATTTGACATTCAACTTGAGAATGTTTTATTTACTGTTTATTTACTGAGAAGGAAAGAAATGGTGCTTCTATCTCAGTTTAGCTTTCTTCGTGCCTGAGTCGTTCAGAACAGGACATCGGACTTCCCTGGTGCTTTTCTGCCATCCGCAGATACAGCACTTGTATCTGTCCTGTGGGATGCAGTAAAATTATCCCAATGGGCATCATTTGCCTAATTTTAAACTAGATATCAGTAGAGTTTTGCTGTTTTTTTTTCTTTTCAGTAACGTTGGAGGGGAAAAAAATAGCCAAGAGAAATTCAATATGTTAATCTGACCAGATTACGTAGTACAGTAAAAGCCAATCGATAACTTCAAGTCTTTGTAAATAATTTCAAAAGATGTCATAATGTTAATGTCCCCAGAACTTCTGACGGCAGTAAAAAGGATTCTCATTCTATGACTAAACAGTTCAGTCTCCCAGAAGAGATGACAAAAAGTTAAACTCCTGTTTTTTTAATTTAACACCTTATTTGTTTTGTTTCTTTGTGTTTATTGTACTTTTGATTATCTTGTTATCTTGTGTCAAGTCTTATGATTATTATTTTGCCTGATACAGTGAAAGTTGAATTAATCCCATTTTTCTTTTGCATTTGCTTGCAGTTAAGCCAAGTATTTATTTTTATTTTTGGTCATTTATGACAGGCTCAGGGGAGTAAAGAGAGTGAGTTCTCAGTAGAGAGGAGTCCATCTGTGCTGTCAGTATGTTTTGTTCATTTATAACCGTAATCAGCACAATGGAATTTCTGGACATGTATACATTGAAATTGTATTTTTACATCATATAACTAATTGATTAAGTTAATACATAAGTGAGAGAAGGGCTCCAAACACCCAGAGGTATTCTTTTTAACTTGCAAATGTTTTGTGATGAGATTTATTGAGTCCCTCCTCGAGCATAAAGGGAGATGTTGAGAGGAAGAAAGAAAAAAAGGGCTGGCATTGGAATGCTGTCCTCAGTGGTGGCCACCAAAGTATGGGCGAGCACAGCTTACAAGGCTAGCTCTTTTCACTCTTATTTCTTTCACATATGTACCGTTTTTCAGTGTTTTACCTTTCTGTTACCAAAAGGTTATTTTGCAAGGTTATTCTGGGTCATTGTGGAAAAGTTCAATTCTACATCCTCCCCACATTCCTGGTTGTGGTCTTTTTAATACTTAGGATGAAGGGCAAAGTGAGTCAAAGTTAAATTTCTCCCTTTGGGTATATTACATAGGAAGTACTTTATTAATAATAATCTTCAGATTATTTCTTCTTTTGTTTTTCTGGAAATCTTATATATATATATGCGCCCACATATCTTTATGTTCTGTTTTGCTTAAATGGGGTAGTCATTCCAAATATAGGTTGATGATAGAAATAACTTATTATGAATGTTTATCAAATATTCTTCATACCTAATACACAGAGCTATGTCATGTAGGAGGTGGCAAGTTATTTTCAGGATTGCAAACTCCATTTCTTACTAAACACTAACTCTTTTACTAATGTTAGTTATTAAGGCCTCATATGGGGAAAAAGAAGAAATAATGAGGTATAGGAATAAAAATGATCATTACATAACTTTAAGCATACTTTTACTACAAATTATCTCTGCAGGAGATAATGAGTTTATTTAAAATGATACTGTGTTGATACTTTTTAGTTGTGTGTTCAGAAGCTGAGCTTTGTACAACATTAAAGAAGGGTGAGAGATTTAGCTTTTGACATTGGCTGAGTAGATTGTAAACTAATAAACATACAGAATATGTTTTAGCATTGCCAAAGAACAAATTGATGCCCTATCATATTCCTACTCTTTTTTGTTCCATTGTAAAGGTTGCTATCCAGCCCAGTAGCAACTGTTTCTAAGTCTGTGCCCTCCTAAGAAGTGGCATGCTCATTTGTTTTCTCTTGTTACTCACCACATGATTAAAAACAAAAACAAAAACAAAAACAACATTCAGTAACTTGAAAAGAGCTTTGAATTCTGTCTTTGTGAAGCTTATTTGTACATTGCAGTATTATTGTTTCCTGATGGGGATTCTAGGAAAACCACATAGTCACACAATTGGAAACTCCTTTCAAAAAATTCTGCAATGTTTCTCTCTCTGTGTCTCTCTCTCTGTGTCTCTCTCCCAATCTCTCTCCCCCCCTGCCCCGCCATTCCCTCTAACCTCCCCCAAACTCTTTAAGGGTTGAAAATGACCAGTGGAACTTAAAAGATGCTCATTACAGGACCTCAACAGCTCAGTGATAGTAGGTCATTGATGGAAATAAAGCTTGAAAGGAGAGTTTACATGCTGATATAGTACAACTAAGAGCATCATGACCAGAAAGAACAATTCTGACGCCCGTCCCCCTGGAAGGTGCACATTTGCTCAGGTGGAGAGGGCTCTTCTTTGTTGGTAGGTTATTGCAGCTCTGCAAAGGTTATTGGTATTTTAGGCATGGATGCGATCTTTGTGGGTACTGATATGCAGTGCTTAGGAAGTACTATTGATGGAAAATGAGACCTTTTCATACATGGCAATGTGCATTACCATGGATTTGGTAGCAAGAGAGAAATCAAAAAGACCAATCAGTGGCCTTTGATCCAGACTTTTTGCTTTCCCGAGCAGGGAGATGTCAAAACAAAAGGCTTAGGAGGTAAAACATATGAGGGACTTATTTTAGTCATCATGAGCACCTGGGATCTGAGATTAGCAAAGCAAAGTCTATTTTTTTTTTTTAATTAGGTGTGCTATAGAGAAGGGAGTTAGCATTGCTGAGCAGGATGATATGGTTGAGTTCTGATAAGGGCAGTCCCTTAGAGCTTTATGCACTTTACCTAACACAGTGTTTCTTAAACCTGAGCATGCACCCGATGTCTGGAGGGCTCCTTAAAAAGGCAAATTGTTAGGCCCACCCCCATAGTTGTCTAATTCATATGTCTAGGGTGTGGCATGATAAATACTGGCATGTTCAGAAGTTCCAAGGTGGTGCTACTAGCCAGGGGATGACACTTCGAGAACAAATATATTAACCTTTAAAATATCCCTGTGAGGTCCACACTACTACTTTTAGTTTACATACTAGTAGTCTGAGCTTTGAAATATTAGATAACTGAACCAAAAGTCACACAGCTAGTAAGTGGTAACCTTTGGATTCTGATTCAGGTTTCTTCCTTACTCCAAAAACCAGTCTTTCTCCATCCAACCATACTTTATTAAAAGATAAAGAGATAAAGGATAATGAGCAAAGCAAGGTAGAAATGACATTACTCGACATTGGAAACTGACAGCAGAGCAGGAGCATCGGAGCTCTGTTGCTCTTGCGCCCGACAGGGCTGTGATCTCGACCAGTGCGCAGGGAGGCTGTTTCTGGTCTGCGAGTTAGGGAAGACAGTCCCACCATTTATGTGAGGCGGTTGGCAAAATTGTGGATGAATTTTGGGGAAGCCGTTCGCAAATCAAAAGAGAAGGGAAATATGGGATTGGAAGAGAAGAGGTTGGCAGAAGTCGACAGTGTGAAAGCTGATTTGGGGAAAACAAGTGCTTTTTAATGGTAGATATGTAAAATATGTGAAATAACAAGTTACTTAGTGTGCCCTCAAACATGAGAAACAACAAAAATACACATGTCATTTTCACAAATCTATGAAGGAAAAAACAAATTGGAAGATGAGGGAATATAATTGCATTACATCATTAGATCTCCACACCTGTTCAGGGGTGTCCAGCCTGTGGCCCGCAGGCCGAATGCAGCCCAGATGGCTGTGAATGTGGCCCAACACAAATGGTGAATTTACTTAAAACGTTGTGAGATTTTTTTGTGTGTGCTTACGTGTCACAATGTATTTAATGTGTGGCCCAAGACAACTCATCTTCTTCCATTGTGGCGCAGAGATGCTAAAAGGTTGGACACCCCTGGTAACTCTACATAGCACTGTGCCTGAGAGCATTTTCGGGGTTTTGTTGTGTATCACCTCATTATTTTCATTTGTGCTGCCTCCATTCAAATGAGTTGTCAATCCCAAATCTTATATATCAAAATGAAATGGTAAATAAACTGTTTTATTATCATGAGATGTTTATGCTGGTTCTTTGGTTCCACTTTGAAGTCTCCAGGGAATTGTTATACATCTGAAAAGAAGTGACTAGGATTTCACCAGCACATGCTTCAAAAAGGTGTTAATTTTTATTGGCCTTATAAGTTGCTATTCTGATAGCACTCTGGAACTTGGGAATTTTTATTCCAGAGCAGTCTTACACCACCAGTTATTAAGGCAAAATGCATGGCTGCATTGGAGGGTTTGAATACTAAGGGGTGGAATTTTAAGGAAAATATGTCATCTCAAGGACTGTGAGTGCATCATGGTAATATTTTTTATTATTTTATTTTTTAAGCAAAGTTAAACCACCTCCACAGATTTCGCCCAGCAAATCGGTGGGCGGGGAATTTTGCGTGGCTGCAATGTTTGGAACGTCCCGGTCATGGATTGCAAATAGTGCAGGTCTGAAAAGAGAAAAAGGTGAGTATTTTTACCAAGAATTAAACTGGGCGCTTGTAATACTTGTTTCTTGAGGAAAATTCATAGCTGTTGTCCTTGAATAATCCTGAACTCAGTATTTAAGAAACCACTTTTTCCATTCAATAAGCATGTCTTTCTCAACTACTCAAGACTAATCAAGAAGAAAGGCTATCTTTTCACTAAATGTTAAATAAATTGCCTGTTGGGTGTTTTTATTTTGCTTTGTTAGTGACAGTTTACAGGTGTTCTCAATGTAGCTTTTACATTTTTGTCAAGCTAATTTCATACCTTCTCTAGGTGTGGAGAGGTGTGGAAAGGAAAAACCTTGTTATCTCTATTTTTAATTAAAAAAACTTTTTTACCTCTATTTTAGATACGAAGAACTTGAGATTAGTGAGTTTAAATATCTTAGCTAGAAGCAATAGTTAGTAAGTGATGGAACAGAGTTTGAAACCGGGTTTTCAAAGGCTAAATCTTGACTTAAAAAAGAATCAACAACTTTGCCATGTCATAAATTAAACAATAAGTCTGCCACTCAGAAAAATGGGTCATCTTTTATGTAACCATTGCTCCTTTGAATTGATATAGTTGTTGTTTTTTTTTAAAATCCCTTTATTTACCATCAGGCTCAGTACCTAAAATGTTTACATAATTACTGTTTAGTATGTGTTTGCTTGTTGATTCTGTGTAGAAGAGAATGCTTACATTTGTGGACCAAATATTTAATTTTGAATAAGGTCTCCCCCTTCTTTTAGTACTATTAAAGTAGGTCAGAAACCTAGTCTAGTGAGGCACTTCTTTGAACAGTTCCACAGGCTGTATTGTTCTTGGCAAAATGGCCCTCCTTTACACTCCACCCCAGCCAGACGCAGCCCCTTCCCCCTTATCGCCTTTCAGTGACCCTCTCCTTGGAAATAGGATCTCAGGCACAGCAGGTTCCTTACCTGAGTGGGAGAGGACACAGTACAGTATGCAAGCCTTCCATTTTCTTATCCCATCTTTATTTTTTTGTTACCTCCTTAGCTTTACTGATGTTATCAAAATGACTTTTTGTTGTTAGTTAAAACCCTCAGTGAAGCTCGATTTCAAATGCTTCTCCCTTCTGTTCTAATTACCCTTTTAACTTGCTACTCCTTTATGCCCCACTGACTGGTCATTAGCCATTCTCTCAAATCAGCTGTAATTAATTCCTCTGGCATAGAGATAAGGTGACCCACCCAGCATTCATGAGTGATTTTATATGCTCCCAGGTTTACTGTAAAACCCGAGAGAGAGGACTAAACCTGTTTTGGTACTGAGGACATGTGTACTCTGTATAAAGTCATTTGATTAGATCCATATTCAACACCTGACCTCAAAGTATGACTGGTCTTCGTTTACCATGGGGGCAGTGATCCCACTGATAGAAGGAAGAGAATTTGGGGGAGGAGGATATGTGTGTTTTCTATTTGTTTGTTTGTTTGTTTGAATCCAGAAATTTTAAAGAGAAAGTTTGCCGAGAGAATGTAGTTTGAAGGTGTGCTGATTTAGGCTTGCCAAGAGCCTCTCGTGCACTCGAGTGGGTACGTCCGGTGTAACAGTCCATTCACTGCTCCTTGTCAGTCCCTCTTCCCCGTCCCACCTAAAATCACTGATTTTTCATAATGCGGGACACATGTTGTAGACAAATACAAAAGACCGAAAATATTGTTCCACTATATTAGAACGTTGAGTATATTTATATCATTCTTGAAATACATTGCTTAAGATTTAAAAAAAAATTTTGACGGCATAGAGATTTTTATATTCATTAGTATATACTTAAATGAGAGGCAACCTTTAGGTAAAGGGCAGACACCATGTGAAAAAAATTCCTGCGTTGTTTTCTCCCAGCAGCCTCAGGAACTTGTAAAAATTATGCCATGCTCCTTTTTTGTCACTGTCAAACATCCAGGTTCTGTTTTTCTGCTTGTAGATCAGTCCAAACAAGTTGTCGTTGAATCTCTCTACATTATTAGCTGCTATGGGACCTTGGTGGAGCACCTGATGGAGCCACGGCCACTTAGCACTGCCCCCAAGATTAGCGATGACACCCCACTGGAAATGATGACATCACCTCGAGCCAGCTGGACTCTGGTTAGGTAGTACCTCCTTTTTTTCTTTTCTTTTTTTGTTTAAGAAAAAGGTTGTTTTTTCAATTACAGTTAATATACAACATGCATTTTTTAACAGCTCCATTGTATAAAATATTAAAAGTATACAATTTGATAAGGTTTGACATCAGCATACAGCTGTGGAAACAATCCCATAATTTACTTTATAAATATATCCATTGCCTGCAAATGGTATCTAGTACCACTTTTTACTCTCTCCCTCCTGCCCCTCTTTATCACTACTCACCAGTGGAGCCCCATGCAACCACTGATCTGCTCTGTCACTATAGGTTACTTTATGGTAGAAGTCTAGATGTTTATATATAAATGAAATCATGGAGTGTGTACTTTTTTTGTCTTGCTTCTTTCATCCAGCAAAATTATTTTCATTCATCCCTATTGTGGCATGTATTGATAGTTTTTTTTTTAAACTGAGACATAATTTACACATAATACAATTCATCCATTTTAAGTGAATTTTCAGTAGGTGTGGTGTACTCAGTCTTCACCACCCTGAAAGGAAACCCCGTACCCATTAGCAGTCATTCATTTCACTTTCCATCTCTAGATTTGTCTACTCAGTACATTTCTTACACATGGAATCATACAAAATGTAACCTTTTGCATCTGACTTCCTTCGCTTAGAATAATGTTTTCAAGGTCCATCCATGTTGTAGCATGTATCAGAACCCTGTTCCTTTTTATGGCCAAACAATATTCCATTGTGTGGATACACCACATTTTTTAATCCATTCATCAGTTGATGGGCATGTCCACTTTTTACCTGCCATGAATTATGCTATGAAGAACATTTTGTGTACAGATTTTAGTGTGGTCCTGTGTGTTCAGTTGTCTTTGTTATATGCCTTGGAGAATACCTCTTTTTGAACTCCTTCCTCCTTGAATCTTTGTGTGACCTTTTTTTAGGACTTGGGTTTTTTTGTTGTTGTTGTTGTTGTTGTTGTTGTTGTTTTGTTCTGTTTTAATTTTCCACATGCAGAGCTTTAGTGCTCCCTCTTATTTTCAGTCTGATGCTTGCTGAAATAGAGTGTACATTGAGGCAGCCACTAAAGAGAATAGAAACTAATATAAATAGATTGCAAGGTTTTCTTTAAAGTGACTCCCTAAGATACAAAGGTTAAGACTGGAGAAGTGTTTATTACTCAGAGTCCTTCTTAAAAGTACCTAGTCCCTAGCATCCTTGTGAGCTAACAAGGATTGGGACTTGGAATCTCGAGTCAGCCTGTTCCGCATGGAGTGCAGTGGTGCAGGAGAGACGGAGAGAACTGACCCTGACATATGTATGGGAGGAAGCAGACAAAAACGGACACAAAACTGACCCCTTTCCGTTCAACATTTGAAAATATTCTTATATTGATTTTCGAAGGCTCCAGCATTCTTTACTACTGCTTTATGGCACTAGATTAATCTGATCAATATCTTATTTATCAAACCATTCATGAGGGGACAGATCTAATTAAAATTACTGCACCATCGTTGTTGAAATAAGTGGCTTATTTTGGAACTCGGATGCTGGTTAGGTCTATAATCGGTCAACCATTAACATAACTGTTTTTTTCCAATCGCTTTTACCTGTTTTAGTTTCTTGGAAAATACACACATATTCTGAGACCAGAGAGCTCTAACAGTTGTCAGAAATTAGGTAAAATTAGAATTCTGCCCCTCCTCTCTGTCCAGTAATTTGAATGTCTAGCCTGTCCTGATGGAGGGGCTTCTGCTTCAAACCGATACTGGCTCTGTGCAGTTTGTATGACTCACTGCCACCTTTTTATTCTTTCTGAGCAGATGGCCTTGTGCTTCAGGTTTCAGCACTCCAACAAGTTCATTTTAATGATTACAAAGATAGTGTGAGTTTATATCAATGTCTGTACGTGGTGACAGTGATGGTGATTTACATACCATCTATTAAGCCTAAATACTAATATTCTTTTGCTGTTTCCTCAGAACGCCTCAGTGGAATGAATTGCAGCCACCATTTAATGCAAACCACCCTCTGCTCCTCGCTGCAGATGCTGTACAGTATTACCAGTTCCTGCTCGCTGGCCGTGAGTAGTTCTTGCTTTCTTCCTTCCATGCAGCATTTTGAGATTTCATCTTAAAATGCTGACTTTTAATGTAACCATGCATATTACCACTGCTCCATCGTCCATAGGCAATAAACAGGTAGCTGGAGGCCAGGGAGTTATTTACCACAATAGAAACCGTGAGACCTAGCATTGAGTTGCCTCTGGCTGTTCGTCTTCTCTGGCCAGGAGAGGTAGCCCTACAGTTACGTAAGTTGATATCAAGGCCATGCCTGGTGGGCTGAAAAGTTAAAAAAAAAAAAAAAAGAGGATACCAGGATATAATAAACTTTCATAAAACTTGGTATCTATTTCTGACATGAAAACAGTTAAGCACTTTTCACTGAAAACTGTATCAGCAGGTTTTTCTTTTTGTAGTATTTTACTTGCAGTAATGAAGTAATGATTGCAACTGCATTGGTTTTGTTTAGTTTCGTTTAGTTTCATATCTGAGCCCTTACATTTGCAGAGATGATTTGGGTTCTTTTTTTTCCTTAAGGAGAAAATATACAGCCTTGTTTGTAGGGGAATTATGAAAAGACAATTTAATGTTTATTATCCAGTTTGTGGTCATAGAATTAACAATTCTTTGCAATTATAATTCAGTTTTGTAGAATTGACTGGATCCTTAATTAAGCGTCATGGCACTGAGCAGTGCGTGTTTTGAAAGAAACTTCCTAAAAATCAACATTATGTTTTTAATGGGGTTTTGTTGTATTGAACTTGTTTTCTCACTTGGTGTTAATACAGCACGAAGTAAAATATTTCTAAAACTTTTATTTTATGTTATAATATGTAATGTGTTATATATTATACTGAAAACAGAGAAAATTTGTTGACTCTGCTGCACAGTTACAAAACTCCGTAATTGTAAGAAATAGTTGGCATTCTTGCTCTCTTATATAACTGAACTCACTGATTTTTCCTTTGTGTCTTTATTGAGTGACTTCTACGTGTCAGGCACTTGGGATTTAGATGTGAATAGTTTGTTCTTCTGTTGTCAGTGAATTCACTGTCTATTTAGAGAGATGGGCATTTAATGAAAAAGTGAAATGCAGTGAGATGGGTGCATCTGTGAGGAGTTGGGTTGTACAAAGAACTATGAGGGCAATGACTTCAGTTGTCAAAGACTTTACAGAGAGGGGTAGTATGTAAGTGGTTTTCTGGTTCAAAAGCAGAGTACATAAAAGTTGTTAGGTTCTAGATTATCTAAGCCTATATTAAACTCCTTCATATGAACTAGAAAAAACATCACACCGATATGATATTTAATTAAAATAATGAGTACATTTTCTTCTACCCTCTCATCATGGGTGAAAAATAACTAATTTTGCAAGTCTCAGATATATAAGAAAGTGACATGGGCAAAAAACAAATGCAACTATCTTTATCCCTTAATATTTTTGTTCCAGCAAATTAAGCTCCTCGGTATTACTTGATTTTAGCAGCTCCGAACACCTTTGTCCAATTCTTAGAACTTCACAAATCTCCAGGTGCATGGTTTACGAACCGCCACTGTAGGCAGTAGCAAGCCATCAAATGTTTCCAGGAATCAGAGCCATGCCATCAGAATTGCATTTTAGAACGATCACTCTGGCAGTCTTGCAAAAGGAGGTTCAGAGGAGGGGGAGGGAGGGGAGTGGAGGCTGGGTGATCCTGGAGCAAGATGCGAGGGCTTTAATTAAGACTGTATTACAGAGAACACAAGACAAATCTGTGAGGTAGTGCAGGGTTGGAATAGAAAGGAATTAGAGATAATTTGAAAGAACGTAGTCACTGATGATTCTACGGTTTCTAATTAAAATGTGTAATATAATGCATTTCCCGTTGGACTTTTTGAATATCAGATGGACTAACAATGGGATAAGATGAAAAGGCCTGGGTTCTAGTTCTAAACTATTTCCCAATAATTTGATAAATATAAAACAGCAGTAATAATACTTGCTGTTATAAAGGTGTTATGGTCAATGAGGCTAAAGCCCTTTAAAAACTATAAAACAATATATACATTTAAGCATCATTCTGTACTGTTGTTACTTATCTCAAAAGTGCGTATTTTCAAATAATAGACTTCAGGACCTGAATAATGAAATACCTATTCTGGCTATCTGATTTTGACAATATCTGTTATCCAAGTGATGGATAATAATTAATATGCTTTTTCTTATCTTGTGAAATGTTCCTATAGCTATAATTAATAGGTAAAAAATACCTAAGAGACAGGCAATTTTGTGATAAGTATTATATTGCTTCTTTACATTGCAAGTATAGACACAGAATTTGTGCCTTCCATAAAGAAAGGTTATTTGATTGAGATTTCTGAATATGTGAGTCTATTACATGACTGAAGGAGTTCAGCCTGCAAAACATGGACATCTGCGTCAGAGAGTTAAAGGCCTGAAATATGGTTGGTAAAAGCAATGCTGGAGCCAGTTTAGAGAGAATGCCTTTGCCTGCCCATCTGTTGAGCCTTTTATGCAAGTTAGAAGCTCATTAAAAAGACCCTCTTGCTCTGGCCAGGGAGCTCAGTTGATTAGAGCATCCTCCCAATACGCCAGGGTTCTGAGTTCGATCTGCAGTCAGGGTGCACACAAGAATCAACCGATAAATGTATAAATAAGTGGAACAACAAATTGATGGCTGTGTTTGTCTGTCTGTCTGTTGCTCCCTCCCTCCCTCCCTTTCCTCTTTCTCTAAAATCAAGAAGCTAAAAAAATTAAAAAAAGACTTCCTTATTACTGTCTTGCTTTTTCTCCAGTGCTCTTTACTGAAGCCATTTGAAACAATATGACCTCCTGAAACACAAATATACCATATGTATACCATATGTAATGCTGGGGATTTTTTTTTGTTTTACTTAACCATATTGAAAATTACCTCTTATTTCCTAACTTGAAGACAATTGATAAATACATTACTAAACGTATTTCAGCCCTCGCTGGTGTGGCTCAGTGGATTGAGTGCCACCCTGCAAACCAAAGGGTTGCCAATTCATTTCCCAGTCAGGGCACATGCCTGGGTTGCAGGCCAGGTCCCCAGTAGGGGGCGTGTGAGAGGCAACCACACATGGATGTTTCTCTCTTCCTCTCTCCCTTCCCTTCTCTCTAAAAATAAATAAATAAAATCTTTGAAAATATATAAGTATTTTCAAATGTAACCATTTGGAGTAAAACTCTTAACACAAACTTCACAAATGTGGCAAGCATTTTCTTTGGTTGTATTTAGACCTGTGGACCACATGAAGCAGACTTGTGCAAACTTTGTAAATTATAATAATAGTTGATGAAGAGTGATGTAAATTGAAATGGGAAAGAGACTTCGCCTCAGGGAAAGAAGAGCAGGATGTTTAGCAAGGGCCCCCCACTCCCCTTCCAGCCCAGTAACCCTAACAGATCCCCTGCTGGCTGATAAACACAGTTTTGGGTATGTGGCGGAAGAGTGACTGGTGGGGCAAGGAAAGGAAGTCCAGCCTGAAACACTCACAACTTCTTACCTGACCTTAAAGTGAAGTAACTAAAAGTATCAAATTTTGTATATGTAACTATAGCCACATTTCCTACCTATAATAATATAATAAAATAGAGATATTTTGGAGTATCATTGAATCATACTTGAATGATCCTTACAGAGATTCCTATGGAGGCAGGGAGGACTCTATTACTTATTAGGTTGAGCCATAGGAATTGCCAGTCAAATAACAGCAAGTGCATATGGTTTGAGTAGACTGATTAATTTATATGTGCAAAGTGAATGTGAGATGGTTATCTAATCTTGTTATACAGCTCAGTAAAGGTAAAAGTTGAGAATTTAGTAGAGAAAAATGTTTTGTCTTGGTCATAAGTAATCTTGAGAATAGTTTATGAAAAGATTATAGCAGAGATTAGTGAGTTTTTCTTCAAAAAATTACATGCTATAATTATCTTTTCTAAATTAGGCATTTTAACTATGATTCTAAAGTAGTCTGTTTTAGAGCTTCCAAAATTGTAAATGAAAAATAGGGCTTACTGAATGGACTTGGGGAATTTGTATTCACAGGGAAAAATAATGTTTCCTCCTTTTCTTTCAGGTAATTGGACAGTGGCAGTATTTTTAAGTTGCTGACATTAGCTAGCTTTGTTGGGGGAAGGTCAGACGTGGGTACATGAGAAGTTCCTCCGTAAGCTTACTGCCTTTTCTTTGTTAAGTAGTAACAAAAGATCTTTCAATACAAATACAGCTTTGATACACAATGGAAAGGTGACAGGGATCTATAGAACCCTCCTGTGTTTTATTGGGAATGTAATTGTTTTCCTCTACCTTTGAAAACATTATAGGAAAGGTGGGTAGAGCCTTTGGCACCAGGTGGAAAGGGATGGAGAACATTGAAAGTGGTTTAAAACAGATATCCTTCAAAGAAACGTGTTTCAATGTGATTTGTGTATGAAAATAGTGTGCTTTAATTTCATTGAGCATTTCTTGAGGTTTCATTTCAATAATAGTAGCTCCACACAAAGGTAGAATAATAGGGATCAGATTGGCTATCCCACTTGAAGCAATAACAGAAAACAAGGTAGAGTATAAAGCAACTGTTTTCCAGTCACTGGACACCAGGGAGTAAGGGACAGTGGTCCTTGAGAGATGGGAAAAAAATGAGCTGAGCTCTACAGTTGCCTCAGGTTGTTCCTTAAGGGTTTTCTAGACTGTGTTGCAGTGATGGAGAATCCAAGTGGAATACGGAGTGGACAGCACTCAGAGCCCAGCAAGACCCAGGAAGAGTACCTCTCAGCAAACTACCATAAGCTATTACTGTAAAACTTTTACTAAAATACAGCAACACCATTTCATTTATATATTGTCTATGGCCACTTTAAAATAATAACCACAGAGTTAAGTAATAGTGCAGAAACCATATGACCCACAAAACCCTTAATATTTACTATCTGTTAACTCCTGACCTGGAATTAGCTGGACAGGTTATTAGAGAGAATAGATCAGCACAGACT